TATAATATAATATAATATAATATAATATAATATAATATAATATAATAATATAATACATAATGCTTTCCAGGTTTTGGACTACAATACCCATCATCATTTATCATTGCCTGTGTTGGCCCAGATGATGGAAGTAGGAGTCTGCAGAGTGGAAGTTTAGTCTTTTATATGTGAAAGATTTTTTTCCCCATAAACGATAGTTACATCACTGAGGAAAAGACTTTTCTTCATATTCCCTTTTTATCTATGTATTTAAAACAAACATATGCTTTCAAACAATATAATAAGTGGACAAAGAATATTACTAACGTTATACCATTAATGTTGTATTCCCTGCTCTGTGAATTTTCTTCTTTTTGTGTATCCTTTCCAGCGTGAAATCTTTGTTGTTGGAAAACTATGCTGGGTCTAGGCTAGAACACAGTGAGCTTATCCACTAAGCTCGCAAAGCCAGTGCTATTTATGTGCTGTGCAGTGTTTTGACCTTCTGAATTGGTTTCCCATTTTAGGAAAGGAAGAGGCAGAGACGGAGAGAAAGAGACGGGCAGCTTTTTTTAACCCGCTCCACAAAATGACTCGATTCCCATCCATTACATTTTATTACTTGATCTGGGAACAAAACAGCACCTCAGTGGTTTAAGAGGATGTACCAGTGTGGACTCCCACAATTTATAAGATGAGACCGGAAGACCCTGATGATTTATAAACACTAACAGAGACTCTTTTTGTTGTTTATAATCTTTAATTCCATGGTTTTCCTTCTTTCAGTCATGTTTGTGTATTTTAGACCATGCTTTCATTTTGTCAGGACAACGTTGTGTGTGGTTCCCACACATGAGAAATGTTGTTGACTGCCTCGAGGCTGATCCCTTATAGAAAGTCAGAAATGATAGAGATTTCTGACTGCACCACATCCTGACATACTGAATGTGGGTCATTTTTCTAGCACATGCATGACTGCAGCTGTATCTGTCTTCTCTAAACTGATGCCCTCCAGATGTGTTGGATTACAATTCCCCTTAATGTCCAGCAAGTAATGGCTATGCTGGCCAGGAATGATGGGAGATGAAGTCCCACACCAAGTGGGAAAGTTATGCACTCCTCCCTTGATATAGATCCATGGCTAATGGCATGAGGCTAACATACGCCTGTCTCTGAATCACATTTCTCTATATGTGTACTTTTCAGGTTAGTTACTGGTTTTTTCAACAAAATATTAAATACCTGAAGAAAAGCAAGCCTTTCCACAAAAGATTTTAGGTTTAGATTAAGCCTGGTTAGTTTCTAGTAAAATTTAAAGACCTTTGATAAAAGTTTCAATTGTTTAAAAAGCCTAGTATTGCATATTCATCAAGTGTCTACAGCAATACTGGAATCTTTACATAACATCAGAGATACTAGCAAATTGTCTTATAGATGAGTCATAGGGTTAGGGTTAGTCACAAACAAACAATCAAGCAAACAAGACCCAGGAGCATCTATAGGGTGGCTCCAAAAAGTGAAGCTGGCAACTGTATCTGAATAATTCAAATGGCCATTTCAACTTTTTTCATCCTCCATCCTTGCAGACATCCTTGGATAGAAATAAAATGGCAAATGAGGTACAGAAAGCTAGGTTTTGAGAACTGCAGAAGGGGTGGAAGAGATTAAAAAATATCTATCCCTCATGTCCATCCATGAAGACCCAAAAGGACACAAATTTAATCTAACCAGGACTACAGTTGTAACCCAGGTGTCAAGGAGAGAAAGGGAATTTTTGGAAGCCTGGTTTTCCACCAATAAATCAATAAGCAGGCACATTGACATCGACCCAATCTGCCAACCTCTATCAACCACAATCCGGAAGGCAGCATTTAAAGACCAACAAACAGCCATGCTGCAAACAAAGTTGTAACTTACAGATCACAAGAAATCAGACCACATCACACGCAACTGATCAAATCAACCCGAAACCAGACTATGACATCATCAGAAGACATCCAAACAACAACACCAGCACTAATTTTCATCACACAGATGGTACTTAAAACCAAGGACTATGGCTCAGCAACTACAGCTAGCCAATCACACAACCTGAAATCAGACCAGGACACAGAAAGGTATTTAAAGGCCAGGATTCCTCCAGACATGCACAATCCAAAGCGCACTGAAGATGTCTCCTCAAAAGGAGATGAAACGGTTGCAACAAAATCGCCAAGCTTGGAGCTCAAACCAACAACATAATTAAAAAATATGACTGATGCTGGGATGCTACAGCTGTTTCTATCACCTCCTACCATTCACCCATTATTTTGCACCTGTCTCTGATTAATTGATCTGGAAGTATTTCATAACATAGAGAAAGTCCCCCAATGCCTGTTTCTGCTGACAAAAAGCAACCGATAATTTGAACAAAGTGCAATCTCATAAAAAGGATGTCAAGAAACTAAACTATCCCCGAGATCCTTCCATGATTATTTTGATGTTCAAGAACTAAAGTTGAAAACTTCCAGGACTTTTAAAATTCTAGGTTAAAACGTACTATGTCTGTTCTCTCTAATTTTATGTGGCTCAAGACTAAAATCAAGGATGTTACTGCTCATCCCAAATAATGAACACATTTGGCTTATGCTCACTATAAAGGAGCAAAATATAGTGTGTAAATTGACTTCTGCTACTTTTGCTTTGGTTAAAACCTAGGCAGATAGATTCTTGGGTTGGTATTTATCATGCATTACTGTAGTACGTAAGTCTTTGCCCTCAGTGAAGTTCTGGGCCAGAAGACTTAACAAGAATATCTTGACTCAAACCCATCCCCAGTCCTGGTGACAACACCGGCTACTCTTTGCTCCATGCCACCCTGTCATAAATACCTTCTAAATGTTTCTTCTAGCCGCCCATCCTCTCAGAACAGGAGGTCCCTAAATTTCCTAACTGAATGAGCAACTTTTTCTCAGAAGGCAATTTGTCCAATTACCAGCACATTTGCAACACGCATAAGTCTAAAGACCCACTCATTTTTAGAAAGGCCACGTTTCCTCTTGAAAGTCATTAGGCTGCTATTTCTTGTCCATTTCCTCTTGGGCAGACGGTTGGAG